TTACTTTTAACAATCCTCCATTTTTTCTAGCCTGAAATAGGGTCTCCACCCCATTAAACACAGTCCACATTGTCCTCTTGGACAACTTATGTTGGGAACGAAAATTTTCCTCTCTTTTCTTAGTTGCACTCCCCCATTTTTGTTGGCCTGGATGCTAGTTATGGCATTTTATGTTTTATTCGAATGATTTTATTGCTAATAGCTAGCATACATGTAGGTTGGTTTGTATAAAAAACCAATAAAGTAGCTTAAGAGGGGTAGGAATATTTATTTTGTACTTCCAAATTCCATTGCCTAGGCAAGACTGAGCACCCTGTGTATTATTCATTTTATTGGTTGGTCTTATTTTATTAGAATACACCTTGTTGTATGTTACCATTTTTTTATTAAGATAATTCTTTTATATTAAAGCTACAAAAGTTTCCATTGTTCAGTCAAAGTTGTCGAAGACCTCCGGATAAGTTTCTTCTTCTTGTTCTTCTTTAAGAAATATTTTTGGGAGAAACAAGGGCCCCTCTTCCTTAAATCACACTAGTACTCTTGTATTTTACTTTCTTACTTGAAAAAAAAAAAACACTTTTGGGAATGAAATAGGGGCTTTGCCCCCTTCTTCTTAAACAGGGGTTGTGCCCCAACTTTCTAAATTTTCCTGTACTTTTTCCACTATTTTTTAGTAATGTGTTTTTTGAATGAAATAGGGGCTCTGTCCCTTTATTTTTCTCTCTCCTTTTTTGCTGCATTCTCCATTTTTATTAGCTTGAAATAGGGTCTCTTTCTCCTTAAACACAATCCAAGTCATCCCCATGGACGACTTATTTTGGGAACGAAATAGGGGCTCCTCCCCCTGATTTTTCTCTCCTTTTTTTTTTTTTATCTACACTCCCCCTTTTTTGTTGGCCTGAAACAGGTATGATGTATATGATGGCATTTTGTGTTTCATTTGAATGATTTTATTGCTAATAGCCAGTATACAAGTATCTTGGTTAGTATAAAAACTAATAAAGTAGCTTTAAGAGGGATAGGGATATTTATTTTACTATCAAATGGCCTAGGTGACTGGGTGCCCTGTGGTCGCCTAGGCGCCTTGACAACTAATGTTGGTATTGTGGAGACTCTGTAACTTGATGTATCTTTTTAGTATAGTCCCTGTTGTAAATTACTTATTCATTTTATTCTTCTTTTCTCTTTCAGCCCTATATGGGCATTCTTGTAACTGTACATATCTTTTAATATATAAGACTCTTTGAGGTGGGGGTCATTCATTCTTGACACCTCTAAGATTATTCTTGTTCTTTTCTCTATTCAGCCAAGAGTGTTGACATGGTATCAGAGCAAGTTGCTCTTTGATCTATTTTTTCTCTCTCCTGAACCTCACTAGAAGCAGTAATCCTGTCGTATTAGGGTTGTTTTAATCAACCCTTTTCTGTTTAGTCTTCTTTGCGCAACCAGCAGGAGAGATTTCATTAGATCTCTATTGGGAGACATTGGTTCGAGGCCAAACTTCAGACTTGGTTTCGCCCTGATCTATTCTCCCTACAAAAAGCATCTGATTTGGTGAAGTTTTTGAAGGAGTTCTGATCTTATTCTTGGCGGCAACACTGTATAGTTTCTTTTTTTGGATTGCAACAGCTTTGGACTTCAAATCTGGTGTCGCCTAAACCTGATCTATTCTACCTACAAACAACATCTGATTTGGTGAAGTTTTCGAAGGGGTTTTGATCTTCTTCTTGGGGCAGCAACACTGTACAGTTTCCTTTTTTGGACTGCAACACTTGTGGATTTTAGGCCTCTTACATCAACCTGCGATTTGAGTTTTTCTCTCTAGATTGAAAGGTTCTCTCAAGCTCTTCTTAACCCTACACTCAGTTTCTGGTTTGGAGATTTCTAAGGACTATTTCGATCAGAATAAGATACCTCCTTATTCTTGAAAAAGACGCATAATGTGTTGGTAAATCACAGTTTTCTCTCAATCGGCTGACTCAATCAACCTATAACCCTAGATCTGGTGTAGTCCTAAGGTTTTCTTGCTTCCCATTTATTTGATTCAGACTTCAGATTCATATTTGGAAGGTTTTAGACTCGACAATCTTAAAAAATTGCCTTTTTTGGACTGTCATCTTGAGTTCTTGATTGTTTAATTTGGTTGTCTCTGATATCATTGTGCCTGTTCCTCTAGATGCATCCATTGTTGGGGGTCGTTGGGTTTACAACATCAAGCTAAAATCTGATGGATCTCTTGATCAATACAAGGCATGTTTAGTTGCCAAGGGATATAGTCAGGAGTATGGTATTGACTATGAAGAAACCTTTGCTCCTGTTGCAAAGATCACCACAGTCCTTGTTCTTTTAGCAGCGTCTGTCGCTCAGTCTTGGACCATATGCTAACTTGATGTGAAGAATGCCTTTCTTCATAGTCAGTTGAAGGAGACGGTCTACATGAAACCTCCTCCTTGGTCCTTTAGTATGTCGCCTAAAAAAATCTCTATATGGTCTTAAACAAGCTCCCTGAGCATGGTTTGAACGCTTTTGCGATGTTGTAGTTGTTGCTGGATATAGCCAAAGTTCTTCTGATCTCTCTCTTTGTTAGGCGACGGCCTTAGGATATTACCATTCTCCTACTATATGTTGATGACATGTTGACTGGGAATGATGCTGAGGGCAGTTGTGAATTGAAACTATTACTTCATAATTCTTTTCACATGAAGGACTCGGGCCCTCTCACCTATTTCTTGGGACTGGAAGTACATCGTAGTGATCGAGAGTATTTTGTTTGTCAATAGAAGTATGCCTCTGACCTTTTTAAACTTGTTGGTCTTAATGATGAAAAGCATGTTGATACACCTATGGAGCTAAATTTTAAGCTATCTAAATCTAAAGGTCCATTTCTTCCCGATGCTGCCTTGTATCGCCAGCTTGTGGGGTCACTCATTTATCTCATTATGATTCCGCCTGATATTTCTCATGTTGTTGAAAGTTAGTCAATTTGTTTTTGCTCCTCGTCAGCCTCATATGACTGTTCTTCATCGCATCATTTGATATGTTTGAAGCACAACTTCTCAGGGGCTGTTCTTCCCCTCCTCCTCTCCTATTCAGTTGAGAGCATATGCTGATGTGGATTGGATTGGTTGTGTTGTCCAGACACTCGTAGGTCCACTTTTGGGTGGTGTGTTTTTATGGGTGATTCACTCATTTGAATTGTAAGAAACAACAAACTGTCTCCAAGTCTTCCATTGAAGCAGAGTATAGGGCCATGTCTTTGGTTTGTAGTGAGATTGTTTGGTTATGATCTCTCTTTATTGGATCTTGGCATTCAGCTTCCTACTCCTATTCCTCTCTATGCAGACAATATGAGTGATATCAAGATTGCATCTAACCCTGTCTTCCATGAGAGGACCAAGCACATTGAGGTGGATTGCCACTTTATCCAAGATCTTTTCATTACTGGGTCTATATTGCTTCCTCATATAGTCTCGGACATGCAGATTGCTGATATTTTCACCAAAGCTATGACTAGAGTTCAACATCTCTTTCTTATAGACAAACTGATGCTATTGTCTAGGCGTCAGTTTGAGTGTGGAGACTCTGTAACTTGATGTATCTTATTAGTATAGTCCCCGTTGTATATTACTTGTACATCTTATTCTTCTTTTTTCTTTCAGCCCTATATGGGCATTCTTGTAATTGTACATATCTTTTAATATATAAGACTCTTTGAGGTGGTGGTCATTCATTCTTGACATCTCTAAGATTATTCTTGTTCTTTTCTCTATTCAGCCAAGAGTGTTGACAGGTATCAGAGCAGAAACCAATTCATGGTTCTCGATGGCTAAAGGAAACTCCATTGATAAAAAAATGGCTAAAGGAAACTCCACCACCACAAGTGCAGTTGCAGCCATCCCAGTCAATTAGACCACTCCCAATCCTTCAAACACGGATATAATTACTCATCTTCTTCCCATTAAATTGAATCGAGGTATATCCGAATTCAATCTGTTTAGTTAATGAATTGACTTTTCCAATCCGATCCGATTTGTTAGGATCAAGGGAGGTGTCCAAATTCGGCTCTTTATCCAATCGATTCGGATTCAAATAAGATCTGGTCCAACTTATTTGCAGAATGCCCATGTATATTTTTAGATTGTAGACTCCTAGGCCTAGGACTCAAAGCTGTAGACTCATGAGCATAGTTGTCAAGGCGGCGCCTAGGCGACAAGGCGCCCTTGGAGTCTTGCCTCGCCTAATCGCCAAGCAGTTTTCTATTGCGTGTTATAACAAACTTTTATATTCTTAATTTTTTGAGGTTATAATTATAAAATAGACATTTTTAAACTAAAATACTCATTTTGTGTGTTTATATACTCATTTTTTTTTGTTATTTTCTTATTTATTAGGGTTTAATCAACACAAACATTGCTAAATGCTGTATTGAACCCTCAAAGACTTCAAAACCTTAACCAATAAGTAAGAAAGAACATAAAATGTTGTCCAATCAACACATTTTCTTCTTTTTCTTTTCTAATTTTGTGTTTTTATATACTAATTTCTTCTTTCACCTTTTCTTTTCTCCTTTTCCTATAACAGAAATAGGGGTTCAGCCCCTGTATCTTTTGAATTTTCTTTTCTTTCTTCTTTTTCTTCTCATGAATATGTTGGAATATGTTGATTTTCTATACTTTAACATGAAGTTTATACTTTTCTTATGAAAATTATAGATATTTATTAAGGAAATATGATTATGGAACCTAGGGAACTACCCTAGGATACATGGTTTTACTTGAAAAAAATCCATCGTCCTTGATATGTGTTATTATTATGAGCTTGTCTTGTGGTTTATAACAGTTACGTTACTTTCCTGACATTTTCTATTCATGATTGGCTTTGACAGTGTGCTTCCATTCATATCAAATTAGGGTAACTGTAAGTTGTAGCCCCATCTTTCAACCCCAGCATCAATTTTTCTTGCCAACTTGCTGCTGAGCAATACAATTATGATTTTGCAGGTAGAAGAGGTAAATAAAGAAAATAAGAAACACAAAGAAGACAAGCATACAAGAAAGAAGCACAAAAAGAAGCATCACTTTGAGAAGTCAAAACATGGGAAACACTCATTGTCCAATGACCAATTGAGGTCGAATGAAAAGGAAGAAAAAATTGAGAGGAGTCGCAACAAAAGGCATGAGAAAAACTCACCTGATGGCTGGTCAGATTCAGAAGCTGACACAAGGGAAGAAAGAGGAAAAAAGCGTCACCACAAGGATTCAAAGCACAGGGACCATTCATCCAAAGGCCAGTCAGATTCAGAAGGTTTCTCAAGTGATGGAGAAGAAACAAGGAAGGGGGGTCATTCCAAGTCAAAGCATGGGAAGCATCCACCTGAAGGAGGTTTGGTTTCTAAAGATGCCAAGGAACATACAAGGAACTGGCGAACAAGTAATCATGGTCGTCACAATCCCATCCAGCGGTCAGATACCAATTATACCCGAAGTGATGCATCTAAAACTGAACCCTGGCAGGGTTCCTACAGGAAGAATCGGCAGGCTGCACCAAAACTCTCAGAAGAAGAGAGAGCTCTGAGGTTACGGGAGATGCAAATGGACGCTGAGCTCTATGAGGAGCAAAGATGGAAGCGGCTGAAGAAGGCCTCAGAGGATGATGCACGTGAAGAAAGGCAGGCCGGTGCGTCTGGTGGCAGGTATTTTTTAGATGCTGCTCAAAAGGATGTATATGGTGCTGACAAGGGAGGCAGCTTCACAATTGAGGAGAGCGTTCGTCGACGAACATATTACCTGCAGAGGCAATCGGATGTAAGTGAAAGAAATGCTTTCCGGCGTTAAGTGCACCTGGGAGTAATGTATTTTATTCTTGTTGTGTGTGATTTTTTTTCCCCTTACTGTCGTCCGCTATATGCGCTTCTCACTTGACAGACCTTAGTTGCAGTCCAGTTCTGTATTATATTCAGAATGATCACTGAAAGCTTCATAGTTCATAACTTCATATAACCAAATCTTCTGAATATTTTGACAAGACTAATCGTCAAAAGCATTGACATGTCTAAGATGAAATAAATAAACGAAGCCAAAGATGTTCTAAAGCATTGTAATGGACATAGTCAGGTTAAAAAGACATCTTTGTTTTGTATGCTTACTGGGGCATGGTAATTTTGACGCAAGCATGGTAGACATAAACCAGAAGTTCGAATCATGACATCGATGGAGAGTATAGATCGAAAGTCTGCTTTTTTCTGTCACGATGACATATCTCTTCTGCTGGTTTTTGCCTTTATCATCCGTGATTCCAAATCACTGGGTTGGTTTATTTAATCTTCTTGATGATGTTATATTGACATGTCTAAAATGAAGATAATTTTGGCCATAACATTCAAATGTAATGATGGCAGGCGGTTTATAACTGTGGGGAAAAGCTTTTACGAATTCACAATAAATCTCCGTTTGTTTGCGGTGCAAGTCCAGATCGGATCAAATTTTCATGTGCGACTGAGATTTGCTCCCTTACCGGATAGCTGATGCAAAATTTGCATTGGTCTCATCTTCACTTATTGATCGTGTAAAATTTTAAATTTTAAATCTGTACTTTTACAAAAGCATTTTTATAAAAGTATTTTTATGAAAATAATTTAATAAAAGTATATTTATAAAAGTAATTTATGAAAATATTACTAGTAAATTTGGGATAATTTTATGAAAATACTAGGGATAATTTTGTAAGTGTTATTTTAAAATTCGACTAGGGATAATTTTGGATGAAAAAAATTTGAATAAGTGCTTATTGTATAAGCACTAAAAAAAACTGGAAATTTGGGCTTAAAAAAAGCTCTTATTTTTAAAATAAACACTTATCTTAGGCCTATTTCCCAAATACTAATAAATGCTTAATGGCGTGGTCTCGGCCCAAATAAGCATTTATTTTTAACCACTCCCAAACATGGCCATATTCATAGACAGTTTCTTGAAATCCACTGCCTGTTAAAAAATTTTAAGTTGTATATTTATAATAAGATGCTGACAATAAATTCTCATTATTATGGAAATAATAAAGCAATAAGCATTTTTTTTATCAATAGAAATAAGCAAATATTATCTACTCACATGCTTGATTACTTGCTCTAGACTCATCCATGACCACTCCCCAAACTCCGCCTTTTCAGTTTCACCCAAGATTGATCTCTTCTTCCTTTTCCAGTGAATCTAAGAAGAAGCCTCCATTCAAAGATTTCAAATTCAATCAATTATCTGAAACTGTAATGCAAAGTTAATAAAATCTCAATCATTCAAGTTAATATATGTACAAGAAGGAAATATATGGAAAGAAAATGTTCACACTTCAAATTATGAAAAGAAAATCGGAATGAGATCAAGGTGTAAGAAAGTATATATCTAAGGGTAAATAAATAAATCTTCATTTTGATATACATGATGAGATCCAGAGTGGGTGACAAAATGAAGATCGTAGAGCAATAGAAGAGCATAAGCAAAACAAGTGATTCTGCCTTGTGAAGATAAAATATAAATCACAACAATACCAAACCGTAGTAGCAACTATCAGTACCAAAATAATATACATCGCAACAGTTGAAGCAACATGCCACTTTCTTGATGAGAGTGTTACAATTCAAGTAGGGGAAAGGAAGAGTTTTAGGCCCTGTTTGATTTTACTTCTAAAAAGCACTTATTCTAACAAGTACTTCTTTAAAGTGCTGAGACCACACATAAGTGGTAAAAAAATATTTATATGTGTTTGGTAAAAAAGTCACTAAGAAGTACTTTTTTTAAAAGAAGTACTTATAGAAAAAGTAATCTGAGAGTGGCTTTTTTTTTTCAGCACTTCTTGGAGAAGTGCTTTTTCAAAATGAATGGGACGATTTAGTCCCTAAATAATTTATTTAATAACATTTTTGCTCCACACGAGGGTTTTCTTCCCTCTCCTCCTATTCAAAGATGACTCCAGTTGCAGGTCCACCTACAATGATCGACAGTACGAAAATATGACCGACAGACCTGGCATTTTTCCCTTTGTGACTATTTTTTGCTTATTTTATTTGATTTGAAGCATTTTTCTTGAGTTTTTTAATGCCTGAAAAGGCACTCTTCTCTCTGTTTGCAGATCTGTGATTGGGCAAGTTTATTGACGACACCCGATCGTCCAGCCGCCGGCGAACGAAGGTGAGTTGCCCAAACTCTTCCCCTCCATGTTTGAAGTTATTTTCTTGTTTCTTTGGGTGAATATTTGTCTAGATTTGTTTTTTTTTTTTAGATTTTTCAAGTGGGAAATCCGAAATATTTACTCTTTTTTTTGCATTGTCTATGTGATGGTTCCTATGCATGAGTAGAATTTGTTTGTGTTTTTTGTTAAAAATGATGCAAAACATATGTGGAAATATGTGGTTTACAGATTTTTTTTCTTGATTTTTTGTATGAATAATTAGTTAAGTGTTTATATTTTTCTTATTTGTGATTGCATTTTTCTTTATTTTTGATATGTATAGTTGTGATGTTTTATATATTTTGTTGTGATTAATATTTACTTAAATGTTTACATGTATTCTTGATTTGCGATTATTATTATTTATGATATTACTATTATTATTATTTATCAATAATATTTATTATTATTATTATTATTATTATTATTATTATTATTAATTGGGTCCACATGGCGCTCCACGTGGGCTCTCAGGTGTCATGATGTGGCGATTTTTCATTAAAATGTATAGTATAATATGTGAAAAGCATTGTTTATATGTATGAGTGAAGTGAGGGCTAAAATTGTCATTTGTGTCAATATAAGAACTTGTGGGGAAAGTAGCTCACCAAACATTTCACCCCAATAAGTGCTTAAAAAATATAATAAGTGATTTGACAAGTGGGTTACCAATCAGCCTTAAGTTGTTAAAATAAGCACTTCTAAAAAGTACTTGTGCAACAAGTACTTCTTTTAGCAACCCCTTATTCACCAAACATAACCTTAATTGTATAACTATGAAGAGGTGGTTGTAGATTGAATGATTTAGATTGCTCAATCTATACTACTTATAAAAGTATGAATGGGTCTTATTTTTTGGAATTTTCATTGGACCAGAATTTACCCCTTGATCTTGAGTAACCGTGGGGGCAAAATTGTATTATAAATAAAAATCTATAGTTGAGATAGTTAATCAAATGTACAACATTTATGAATATAAAATTTTAGACCCCATCTATATACTACTATTAAAAGTGTGGAATTTTTTATTTAACTAAATACCCCATTTTTTTTAATTTGGCCTCTCTCTCATTGTAAGGACATAAATGTAATTTGAACAATTGCTTTTCTCCTCGTTGAATTCCTTCTCATTAATTCTTATTTTTAAGATATTAACTCCCAATAATATTCATCAAATCCTATTATTGACTATAATACCTCTATTTTTGAATTTGGTCTCTCCAATTGTGAGGATATAAATATAATTTGAATTAATACATTTCTCGCCRTTCAATTCTCTCTCATTTAGTCTTATATTTAGGGTATTAACTCCCATTTTTCATCTAATCTTATATTAATTGACCGTATTAACAAAAAAGTGTGCCAAAGAATAATTGCTTTTTTATGATGGAAATAAAATACAAATTTAAAATCAATCCAAAACAGTTGTTTTACTTTTTGGTAGCAAGTCAACAATCCAAACTTTTAGGTTAAATTGTAAAATCCTTGATGCCAGAATTAAATAATAATAAAAAATTAAAATGGATGAAAACAAACAAAAGTATAGAAAACTAAAAAAAAATATTGTAGAAGACATCTGGGCACATTTCTAATATCGTATATTTATCATATTCAACAAAAAAAAGTATGATAAACAAGAATAAAATTATAGAAAATTTTGGAAACATATTATTTTCATATTGTAGAAAATTAGACTGGTTTTAGGTTAAATTCCTTCCAAATTAGTTTTGATTTGAATGAATTAGATGGATTAACAAAACATATTGAATTGGACCAGTCCAGACTTAATGGTCTGAAATATTTATTGATTTGGATTGGGTTGAATTGAGCCAATATCTGATCCATTGATAGAAGATGAAAATACAGGTATCAATGAACCAGGTTTGATGTGAAACCAATCTAAATTAAAACGAATTTGATCAAATTGAACAGTCCAAGATTGGACCAGGATAATGGACTCACATTGGAGCTAAGTTGTGGTATCCAAAATATCATGGTAGAATCTGATTCATACGACCTTGTCGAAACTATAAATGACAAAATTGAGGCAATTAATAATGAGGTGTGGCCTAGTGTTACGGGCAAAGATTTTTAGCCTCGAAGTTTTAGTTACTTTTCTATTTCATGGATTACCAGGATTACAGTAATTGTGTTGCTCATCAAATCGTAGCCACTTGTTCTTACTTCTTAGTTCCTCTGATTGGAACCTGTGGTACTGTCATTCTTTTTAGGGGTTTTTATAGTTCAGTCCACTCCTAGGGTGGAGTTAGGATTTCTATGGGTGGACTTAATCCTGTTCGTGGATTGATGCTAAATTCACGGACAGGATGCAGTTTATAAGGGAAGGCTACTAATAGACTAAGAGGGGGCTGCCATTCAGATTTCTGAGGTGGATTGCAGTCCACTTATCCCTTCTTTTTAATTGTGTTCTTTGCTGTTGTAGTACCAAAAAATAACAGAAAAGAAAAGCGGAAAAGTATGGAYAGACCCAATGCAGATTTCTGAATTCCACTGCATTCTATAAACATTCAAAATGTCAAAAATTTTCATTCTATACATCAATTCCTGCCCATGAATTGGCATCAATTCCGAACTGACACCTACCCCAATTGTACTTTAGACCTATAAATTCTGACCTTGGGCTGAACCGTCATTCTCCCGAAAAACGAAAATGAAAAGTAAGTACTCGCCATCTTGTGAACCTACACGCTTCTCTTTTGAGTTTTGTCCCAAAGCAGAGAGCACTTGAGAAAAATTATTTTTTTTCAGTTTTACAAGCCACCCATTATTTTTCAAGCCACAGATAACTT